GTGCTCTTGGAGGAATTTTTCCCCTTCCATCAGTGGGGGAAAAACTTCCTTCTCCATAGCATCGCAGAAGGTTTTGAGGGCTTCAGCAGCTTTTTTCTCATATTCTTCACCCTTCTGCTGCTTCTCTTCAGCTGCTGCTTGCTACAGCTTAGCAAGCTTTAACTCCTCTTCGGCTACCTTTTTGTCGTGCTCGGCAGCGTCCACCCTATCTTGTAGGGTATCTATCAGCTCTATAGTGAGAGTTTGATTGTGCACGAACTGAAAACAGGAGCACAAGTTAAAATAAAAAATAATAATAATAATGATAATTAAAGAGCTGAATTTTAAAGGAGATAAAGGCAAGGAAAATCACCTGCATCATCAGCAGTTGGTTAGACCTGGCTGGGTCAGGAACTGATCTGCTGGATTCGCCCATCCCAGCAGTGGCCTTCAGCGACCAGATTCTTGCCCTATCTACTTCGGACATGCCAGCAAAATCGCCGAAGTAGGCTGCAACACCTTCTCGGTTCTGACCCCATATGAGGTCCCAGATGTGATCTGGGATTGGAATTCGGGGGGCCGAGAAACCCATTTCTCCAGATTGCAGAGTCTGGAAGGAAGGAAAGGATGACGATGGAGCTTCTTTAACTTTGGATGGCTCAGCATCCTCCTTCTTCTCAGAAGAGTCAATTATTATGACTTCTTTTTCTTCATGGGTGAGGACGAAGGCCTCAACCTCTCTTGCAATGTCTGCCGTGAAACCCTCAGCACTGGGCATCACGGCATCCTCATTCTTGTGCTCAGCAGCACTCTCTTGAACTTCTTCTTGGACTTCTCCCTTAGGTTCGGGAGTTTTCTGATCCACCTCCATCTCGGGAGGTGGCGGAGGGGTCTTTGGAGGTGATTGAGGTGGTGGCCGGGGAACCCTCGGCGATCCATTGCCTTCCTCGGGTTCCCTTATTTCGACGCCGATGATCATCGGCCTCCGCTCAAAGTCATGGGGGCCGATGATGGCCATTCTTCGGCGCCTTTTCTGAAGCGGCTGCTCGTCCATGTCTGAGTCTGAGGACTCTTCTTGTATCTGGTCTTCGGGACGAACAGGGGCTTTCCCTTCTCTGTGTCTATTACTCTCTTCAGACTGTAAAAGACAGGGGGAGGAAGAATGTGAGTAAAAAAAACAAAAACAACAAAACAACAAACAGAAACAGACAAAATTAAGTCTGAAAGCTCACCGAGGTATTCAGCAAAGCCTCGTCTTCTTCAGCTGCCCTAGCTGCAGCTTCTTCTTCAGCAGCCCTGGAGGACCCTTCTCCTCCTTCACAAGCTTCAATAACCCGTGCAACCTCTTCGGCCGTACGGGCAGCTTCAGCTTCTTCGTCCAGCAGCTGAAACCAGGGATCTCTCTTCTTCCACCAAGGCTTCTGCCTCTGATACAGAGCAACAACCTCAATTTGGAAGTGGGAAGAGTCTAAATGAACTTCTCTATGCCTCGGTTCAGTGATAGAGGGGGCCCGATCAGTTACAACTCGTTCTCGGTTGACGCCAAGACGAGCGTAGTTAATGCTGACGTTGGTCTCGTCCCGCTCTGAAAAAGAAAAGGGGAAAGGTCAGTTCAGTTAGGTTGGCACAACATAAAAAAGCGAAGTGAAAGAGGAGAAAAAGAGATAATTAAAAGGCCTCGGCCCCAGCCGAAGCAGCTTACCATCCTTAAACTTTCGGCTGAGGCCGACAGCTGCTAGCATGTTCTCTTGGAAAACATAATGCGTATCGGGGAGCCAAGTCTCCGGGATATGCTGCATTCGGCCGCTGCCCCCCCGGTTCGGCAGCTTGCCGAAGATATTCTGTTGATTAAGGTTCGGATCTGGGCTGTTATCTGCGGGGGGACCTAAACTTCCCATGTCGGGATCAGGCTCAGCAAGGTACCGGGGAGCGCTGAAGACGCAAGGGTGGCCCGGGTCCGTGGGTGCCCTAACCCAAATCCATTGACCTCTCCAGTCCTTGTCTGAAGAGTCGTTCGGCCACATGGTTAGGTACTAGGGCCGAGACTCAATCCGGTACCACCCAGAACCATGACTTCCGTGCCCACTTTGAATATTTGGCACTAGCCGATGAAGCTTTTTGAAGCAGTGCAGGTTCGGCACATACTTGAAGAACTTGCAGACCCATAAGTATGTCATCACCCTTCGGATGCTAATAGGAGTTAGCTGACATAGGGAAATATTGTAATGGATCAGCAAGTCTCGGACGAATACGTTCAAAGGGAACCTCAGCCCATACTGAAGTTGTCTTGTGTACACCCCCACATACCCCGGGGGTGGACGATGGATTCTATCGGATGCCACGGGCATTCGACACCAATACCCATCAGCTTCAAGGATGCCGTAATGCAACTCAATTTGTTCGGCAAACCGATACTGTTCGGCATTCTCCACCCACCAGGAGTAGGGGCGGTTCTTTATCATGGCCGAAGCTACTTCGACATCCTCCCACTCTGAAAACCCGGGAAGGATATCCCAAAGGACAGCGGGAACTTCATCGTCCCGCCCAGAAGCGCTCGACCCCTCCGTTCTCTGAGGAGGAGCCGAGGAAATTGGAGTCGCCCTAATCCCTTCAGCAGGGTCAGACTCTGCTATGTGTCCATTCTAGGTCCCAATCCTGTTCCTGGGATCGGGAATTGGCCTTGCTCTTCTTGGAGCACGGGCTCTACCCCTAACTCCTCTCGCCATTGATAATTTCGAAGAAAAAAGTCGAAAAAAGGGGAAGGAGTTAAAATTCGAAGAAAAATAAACTAAAATCAAAGGAATTTACCTTAATCTGAAGCGAAAGTTGCCGATTTACGAATTGGTAGTGGCGAGTCTCAGTTTCTAAGCTTAATGCTCGGGGAATTTGCGAAGTTTTGATGCGGGTTCTTGGGTTCTCTCGAGAATTCTGGGTTTGTGTTGGTGAATAAGTGAGGAGAGATGACGCGCCTCTAATTATATCTCCAGAAATGGGAATACGGGGAGTCCGCGTTTCAATTTCTCTTAAATACCCCACTAAGTAACCGTTAAACACACGACCTTGCGATTAAACTGCCCATTATCCGTCCAACTTCCACAATTATCCGCCTTAACTGTTGTTATCTCATTAATTACGGTTTAATTACGGTTTAAATTCAAATTTTTGGATTAATTAAATCATTCACTTCCCTCCTTTTCTGATTAAATCAAACCCGACCCGTCATCCTTCCAAATCGGGTCTGGGGGGCAAGTTGTTTGGGTCCAATTTAGTCCAATTGGGCCTAGGCATTAAATGATCCAATTAAAAGCCCAAGGTCAAGGTTCATCTCTCCAATTGTGCTAAAGTCAAAGATCAGTCCTCAAGGCAAGCCAATTGGGCTAAGGCCCAACTTCTCCATATATGCAAAGGTATAAAAGCCATCAATATTACATTTGTACATTCATTCAAGAAAAGCCTCAAGCAATTAATTCTCTGTGTTCTCTTTCTACACACTGTACTGACTTTAGCATCGGAGGGGCCTTCCTCGGCAACACCCCCGAGGCTAGTTTACGTGTGTTTACTGTGCAGGAAACCTTCGGCCCAACATCACTTGGACCGAATCCAGTCTTCTCCACTTCATCGGACCTTCGACAAGGTCCCATTGTTTTCACCCGAAACAGAAATTAAATATATATGTTCAAGAAATGAATACTAAGAAAAAAATAAATAATTGAAGAAATGAAATTCTAAAAGAATTGAAGAAATGAATGAAATGCGTACTAAAAAGAAAATAAATATAAGAGAAGTTGAAGAAATGAAGTATATACCAAAGATATTAACAATTTCTTCATCCGCCATCACAGTGAGCTCGTTATCGATTTTCTTTAGTTGGGTATTTTCTGCTAATAATTTCTTTTAATTTTGCTGAATTTCGATCTCACTTTCTGAAGTGTACATATCAGGTATATATAGACACGTTACACCCGACATCTTAATTGGGTTTACTATCTCTTTCTTTCTTTTTTCACTTTTTAATATTTTTTAAAAATAGTAGTATAATAATAAAATAATAACAACTACTTTGTAACAGAAATGGAATCAGTTATTAACGGTTTCAGAAAATGTAAAAATAAAAAATAAATTTATTTAATTGCATCCCACTCTGTTACTTCTGTTGCAAACCTCCGATTTCTGTTTTTAATTGGTATTTTTTTTAACGTTCATTATGTTAGTACACATTTACACACTCTATACTATAATTTATATTAATTTAAAGTTGGGTTACACACGTGTTTTAGTAGTTTTAGTAAGATAAAAGTATTAACTTTGGTGTGTTTGGATTGAAGGAATTGGAGGGACAGGAAGGGAAGGGAAGGGAAATGGAAAGATTGAGCATCTTTCATTTAGATAACAAATGAGGAAGGAAGGGAATTGGAGGGAAGAGAAATGTAAATTGTAGGAAATTGATCCCTCCAACAATAGAGAGATTTGAAAGGAAAACTCACCATTCTTTCCTCCCATCCCTTTCCCTCCCCTCCTCTTCTTTTCCCTCCCCTTCTTTTCCTTCCCCTTTCTTTATCCAAACACACTATAAAGTATTTAAGTATTAATCGGTATTTGAATGTTTTTGTGGGTGGACGTGGAAGGCGAGACACGACAAACTCTAATACAGTATTTGTAATTTTATAACAAGCTCTCTGATTTATTAGACGATTATAAGATTTATAACAAGCTCTGAATTAGATGATCGAATTAAAAATGTAAAGTTGTATACTCGTAGAGTATTAGGAATCAGTTGCACCAAAAAATAAGAAACACTTGAAAGTTGCCCGAATAAGAATTGAACCTACAAGGCTACAATCTCAAAGTTGTAGGGTTTCTTTCCTCAGTATTTTGCAAGTAATTATCCTCTAATCAAGTTAAGATGGATCCTTCAGTCGATTAATAAAGTTATTACTGTTGCTTCTCTTTCCACTTGCCATATGCTACTGAATTTGAGTTAGGCATTTTATTTAATGTTTCAAAATATTACTTACAAAGCCTTTTCTACCAAATAAATCAACCTTATACTTTGAATCAGAAATTTGCTTATTTGTTTACAAGGAAAAAACTCCTCAAGAGTATGGCCAGCCATACGACATGTCATAACGAGAGGAGAGAAATATTAATTTCCATAAATAGTACACAAATTTTGCCAACTAAATCAAGTATACTATGCGATAAACTTGACTTATTGATTAGCAATTACAATAATTAAAAAATATAGAATGGAGACTAGAGCACCACAATCGTAACAGTTTGTGAGGTTACAAAACCCCCAGCCTCTGAACCTAAACTACAGAAACAAAGCCCAATTTTGATCACTACAAGCTACAGAAGAACCAATGCGCACCTAACCTAACCAAATTAGTAGCGGTACTTGGTTGAGTAGTCTTTGGGTGAGATCACCAATCCTCGACCCTTCCTTGCCCCACGATAGACTGTCTCGACAATGTCAATGAACTCCTGCTTGTTCTTAAGAGCCCAGTTGATTTTATTGTTGTTACCAGTACCAAGGTCTATCATTATGTGCTTGTTCCTAAAAAAGAACATGACAGTGCATGGATCATAGAGCTCATACATTGTGGTGAAATCAGGCACCTCTGTTATGTCCACTACATAAATCACTGCATAGTTCTTTATTTTCTCCGCCACAGCAGCCAGCACTTCATCCATCTGGAAACAAGGCCAAATAAGTTCACACAACAAAATGATTTAATGTTGTATCTTTCTACTAACCTCAGAAACATGTAACACCACCAGACAATTCCCCAAATTATAACAACACTGTTAAACATATATAAAGAGTCTACCTTCCGTTGAAGATCAGCTGTTCTCTTTAATCAAGGCCACTGAAAAAGAAACGATAAGATATATAAAAACGTCCACAAAGACATCAATAGACGGCTTTAACAAGACCAGCAGCAATAGTACTTAATATCGTACATTTATACCCATGAAATCGATCTCATTCTCGTATTGCATTATCGGAAAATACCAGCTTAATATGGACAATTAGGCAGCTATCCTATGAGACTCATAACCATGATCAATATACAATAATTGTGCAAGTTAGCAACAAAGAATGCAATGTTAATAAATGCCCAAATCAACATTTCAGGTTTAATTTATGCCCATGTCAACAAACTCCTCCACTTATTAAACCTAAATTTCATCTTTTGCAATCAGGTTGCTCTGTTCTAGTATTCTCCCAATTCAACCACTAAGTACTTCGTATAAATTAGATTATAGCTTTTGCAAATGGGTGTTACGACGGTTCATGTTAACAACCCCTAACTTTGTTGATGTTGTTGTTGTAGTAGTAGTATACCCAAATTAGCTTACATTTAATTAATCAATTTTTTCAAACTCTAAACAAATCAAACTTGTCACACCAATCGAACGAATTTAGAATTAACAAAATTGATGTGAAATACTAATAACAAACTATGATTTCAATACTTTAACATGCTAATCTGATCACATTAGTAACTAATTTTCTAGAAAATTTGGTTAAAAAAAAAAAAAAAAGAAAAGAAAAATGGAAGAGAGGAATTACCTGCATACAGGTGTCATCCCAATCATGGCCGAAACGGATGATGACAACACGCGCTTCCTCGGCGAGAATGGCCTGATCGACGGCCCAGCCTGAGTGCAAGTGCGGCAGCAAGTATGACATTTTCTCTTTCTCTACAAAATTGAGGAAATCTGGAATTATCTGGAGCTTCCCTTCCTATTTATAACTGTCTGATACCAAGTGTTCACCAGAAACCTCTAGAATATCACTTTTTTCAAAGGTGATCATTAGACTGGCCGGTCTGGGCCTATGACTAAAAATCAGCCATAGTTAACACTAGACTAGACCAAGGTTTAGATCGAAAATGTTTGTCCAAATTCATAAATTTTGGCGGAGCTAGCAGCCTTTTCGGGCCATTTCAGGCCAGGCCAAAAAACTAGTAAAAATGTGTATTGTATTTGTCCAAGACCCGCCCAAAAAAATAATAATTTTAGCCCGTGTTGTCGTGCTGGACCTAACCCAATTTTATGCCCTTGGTCCGCCCAAAATCAAGCAGGATCCATGTTGACAACAATAATTTATTGTATTATTATTTTTTATAACACAGATTATTTTGTTAAGAAAAACATCAAATATTAATCCGTATGATTTTATTATTAATACAATATAAAACTAGATTTGCGAGTTAGATTTTTAACGGTGAAAGTGAAGGGTAATGAATTTTCCCCCTAAAGTACATAAGATTCATAGCAAGGAACGGGGAGTCATATTCCATATACGTAATGAATAATCCATCAAAGTTCGGTACTCGTTATCCAAATTAACAATCTTTGATTAAAAAGTTAAAATTACATGTCTGATCAAACATCAACCCTTATGATTTATTAATACGGATATATAAAATTAGACAATTGAAAGTGAAAGTGGGGGTAATGAATCCTCACCCTAAAGCACATAAGATTTAACAGTACGATACCGAAATTACAAAGTGATCAACCCAAGATGACTTAACAATAAAACAAGACCTTATTTACCCCTCGTCCAACAGCAAAAAACGGGGCTAGTCGTAATCCATATATGTAACAAATCTAACAATTAATCCATCAAAGCTCAATAGACGTTATCCGAATTAAGAATCTTTGAATGAAATTACGTGCTTGTCTTCTCTCAAAAAAACTTAAACCCAAACACCAAAGGTAAACAAAGCAACGCAAAAGAAACACAGGAAACTTTTGGCTACGACAACTAACACAAAAGGGCAACCTTCAAACGTTGAATTTCGAGGCAACCTTGAATCGTTGAATTTCGAGGCAACCTTTGAATTTTATAATCAAGCTTCGAATCTCTTTTCTCCCCCCTTCTTCTTCAACCCCACCAAACCCCCAATTCTATGAAAATTTCCGTAAATTATCCCTCTAATCCCACCAACATTGATCAGTGTTAAACCCTTTTCAATGAAACAGAGGTTTGAATTCCTCGTTTTCTTCATCGTTGCTCTTTCTTTGTCAACCGTCGTCGTTTTATCCTCTTCTGCTAATGAGTTATCCCTCCACCGTCCTGCCGGACGCAAACCGCTTTCTCTTGCTCCGTTAGTTTCTCTCTCCTCGCATTTTGTTCTAGTATTGATTATTATCTGATTTATTGCTATATGTATGTGTATTTTAGAATATTGCATGATTAAATAGTTTCATTATATTTTTAATTGAGTTTTTCTAAGAATGAATTTTGTGATTAGGGTTGTGATATGATCCTAATCATCCTATGTGGGGGTGATTATGGACAATTTCAAAATTTGAGACAAACCCTTTTATATGAACCCAATAGAGGTTGAGTAATTATGGTTGATCATAAAATTTTGCTTAGGAGTGACTTTTTCGGTGTAATTTGAACATGATCGACGATGGAATTGAATATATAAGTCGTTTCGGCTTTATGATTACATTTTACCGTGGTCAGGTCTATTTCATTGGAGAAATTAGGGAATTGTAATGAAAACAGAAGTAGTTGTTTTCTTGTTATATGCTGTCAGTTGGGTGTGCGAGTTGTGATCAGTATGTCAAACTGATGGTTTGTGATTCGAAATTACAAGCTGCAAGTAAGGCTGCACCCTATTCACTAATCAAGTGATTGTTAGCTGACAACATACTGCACTGAAATGTAGTATAGCTATTTAGCTTATATCAGTGAACGAGGTAGGGTCTCGGCTTATGCAAACGTGATGCTTGTACTTGTATTCTTGATGAGGCTAAGTGCATGTTGGAAATTGAAATAGGTTAATGCTCTTGGTAATATAAGAACTCTAGAACAAGGAGACTATCTGCATATGTTGTTTGGTTCTACTTGTTATCTACAAACATCTCAGTAGTCATGTTAGTTTGTAAATCATCACAGTTTATCATGACAATTTTCTTAACATATGACCAGGCTCCATTTATTACTGTTGCTTCCTTTTATTACTGTTGCTTCTCTTCCACTTGCCATTATGTTTAGTATAACTAGCATTACTATATCCGTTGACATTTTTGCAATGATGCTGAATTAACTTGTTGTTTCAGCAGAACACTTAAATGAAAACCTGTTTCTTCCCGGGCTTATAAATTAAAATACCTCCCGTATGGTGTTCCATTTAGTATTGAACCCTTCCTAAAAGACAACCAAAAGGAATGGGAACGGAAATTTTTCACCATCTAATACTAGTAGTTCCTTTTACTTTTTTTTCCTCAAATATCTCTTATGTTTTTTTATCATATTTTTGCAGGACACAAGATGTGGAGTTAGTAGCTGCCCTTAATGGCACTGTCTATTTGATAGATAGTGATTCTAGAAAAATTCTTTGGTCTTTATTATCAGGGCCTCCTATTTATGTGTCTTATCACACTCCGATCCAAGAAGATGGTGAAAACAATAAAGCAGTGGGACGCAGTAGATATTCTTTTATGGACTGTGGAGATGACTGGGAATTGTATCTGAATTATGACTATGGAAAACTGGTTGGTCACATTTTCTAACCCTCATTAGCCTTCTCATGTTATATAAATGTGCTTGTTTAACCACTATGGCATCCCCAGTTATATATCATATAGTATGTCACATGGATTTTCACTTTAAATCTTTTTCTAGGTTGATGGTAAATGCTTGTAGTTGTACTTGATTCTTTAGCGATATAAACTGAAGAGCTTTGTACATTCGTTTGCTCTGAACTTTTATAATATGATGATGATGACGCTATGGCTGCCAAAGATCTATTCTGCAAGCAAAAATACTCGTGTTTTTATCTATTTATTTATTTTATTGGGAAGTTTGAGGTGAGGTTTATGATAGTAATTAAGGTCTCAAGGTTATATCTCTCTTTATGTAACTCAGTGGAAAATAGTACGAAGAACCAGCGGCAGCCAGAATGTGCGAATTTATATGAATCAAGGAAATTGCATCACCGCATTCAATTCTGCATCTTCAAAGTAATACAAAGGTGGCTGCTGAGAATTTATTGAATTTTTACAATGCCCCTATTGCTGCCAAACATTTGGCAATTGAAAGGTCTTGAAAAGCTTTAGCCTTTCCAATCCAAACTGAAATTCAAGATAGAGATATATGGGAAGGAGAAGACCCAAATTCTACTAGGCGTTTCTTCCTTATTTAATATCTGATATCAAAGCATGGATTACTTGTCTAGAAAAAGGGAAAGGAGGGATGAAGAGGGAAGGGAGGGGTGAAGAAGGAAGGGGGACGAATGGAAGGGGAGGGAGAAGATAAGGTTACATTTTCCCTCCAAATCTTTCCAACATTAGAAGGATTTGGTATATTAAAGAGGGAGGGAAAATGATTCCTTCCATTTCCCTTCCCTCCTATCAAAAGTTATCCAAAGAAGGGAGGATGAATCCCTTTTTTTCTCTTCTCTTCCTTTCCCTCCAACTCTCTCAATCCAACAATGTGTTATGTAATAATATTTCTCCCAATCAAGAACCCAGATATAAGTGAAGCATAAATTGTTGATAAGGTTTTGCAATTCTCAAATTTTACTGCTTCTTGTTGTTTGTATACTACTGTACCTTATATATCATGGCATAACTGATCAATTCACACAGAAAGCCAAAGTTTTTTTCTCTGTGCAGAAACTTGAAGGTACTATCCAAGATTATGTGAATAAAACACCAATATATGAGGATGATGAAGTTACTATAGGATCCATGCATTCTACAGTTTTCAAGGTTGATCCTTGGTCTGGAAAACTCATTCATGATTATGGAAAATCTGTATCCAGAAAGGTGCCACAATGGGGTGCAGAGACTTCCTCTGCTGAGGGAAGAAGTGATTTAGAAACTTCTAGCTCTTCAAGTGCTAAAGGTTCTGATGTGGAGCTATACGTTGAAAGAATAGATTATTCACTTTCAACTAAAGCATTTGACAAACTACTGTGGAATCTAACGGTTGGCTTTTTTAAAGCCAAAGTTCGATGTAGGGGGACTAATCAGTTGCTTGACGGAGCTTTGATGAATTTGGACCGTAAACTGGGTTCTGGTTCTGATGCTCTTAGGACTGTCTCATTTCCTTGCGAATATGAATTTCCCGTACACCGTTTTCGCAAGCAGAGTATGTTTGAGTACTTTCTTAGACTAGATGGCTTATCTGGTCCCATAAACGATCATAATATGCTTCCAGTTGGTGCTCCAAGTCAAATGCTTCCTTCACAGCTTAATGATGATAAACTCTCATCTACTCATAAGGAAGGGATCTTGTTACCAACTCGTAGCCATTTACGCTCATCGCGTGAAGTTCTTGAGTCTAATTGGAGAACTCATGGGAGGCATGACAGTTTATGGATACTAAAAGGGAGATATATTCTATGGTATTGTGTCTTTCTTGCTCTCCTTTTCTTTGGATTTGTTTACCATAAAATATTTGCAGTGGCAACAGGAAATATTGAGTTGGATGTAGAGTCTAGTTTGATTCCTCAGCCGGTATCTTCCAAAAAGAAAAGATCTCGTAAATCAGTGAAGAACATAGCGGGCTTAGAGGAAGGTCTGCATTATGAGAAGACTGTTAGATGTTGGCCGAATCTCAATAATCTTTTGCAGGATGAGACAGATGGACACAAAATTGGTAAATTGTTTGTATCTAATAGAGAAATTGCGATAGGAAGCAATGGTACTGTTGTATATGAGGGGGCTTATGAAGGAAGGAAAGTGGCTGTGAAGCGCTTGGTTCAGGCTCATCATGATGTGGCCTTTAAAGAAATTCAAAACTTTATT